ATCAATGCCTTTTTAGTCCTTAATCTTGTTTTAAGACTTTTAAGATTATTTATATTTAGATTTTAAAGAATTATTTTTAAAATATTAAAAATAGATATAAAAATATCTTTTACTTTCATCTTCAAAATGATCGGCAAATGAAATAAAAGAATCAAGTTTTATAGCAATATGTGAGATACACCTTTAAATTCCATCAAGATGATTGAACAATTTTTTTGTCATTGAAAAAGTTTTCTTATGATAAAAGAATATATTTTTTTATTCAATAATTATTTTTTACGCTAATTATGATTATTATCTATAATTTGATATTTTTAAATTTATAGCAGATAAATTATTGTTATGATAGAAATAAGATTTATTAAAGATTAAGATTTTTTTTATTATGATTTCTTTCTATTTGTGACATTAAGGAAATGGAAAATCAAGAACCAACAAATTTATTTTTAAAACTATCATTTGTTGAGTTACCAAAAAAGATATTATGATTGTTACAATTTTCAAGACAACCTAATAAATACGAAGACCTTTAAAAATGATATGATCTTTTTAAATAGATGGCAAGATACAATATGTTTGGTATCACAATTTCAGAAGAAACTTCCTATATCTGTTGATATTATTAGAAGTAAGAATTATTTATGATGGTGTTGCAAAAAATTTATTTGAAAAAAGTTATGAAGGCCTCAACATTGATCAAATATCAAGGTAATCTTTCTATTCCGGTATAAAATACTATTGATGGAATAAAGAAATTATCAACTACTTTTGAAGGCAACAAAGAATAAAATATATAGCAAATACAATTTGTTGCATCTTGAACTTTATCAACATGTCAATATTGCTTCTTGTAGAATTTATTCTTAAAAGAAGGAATAATATCATAGACATATAAAATTACTCCAATAATTACATAAATAATATGACTCTATGGAAGTATTGGACATCTTAGCCACTTGTGATACAAATTGGACATGTAGCCCATATATAAAAAGCTTATCTTGCAAATCAGATATGTATCTTACAAGTTGGACACATGTTAGAGGTCCTATAGAACATTTTTACATAGCTTTTAATTAAATAGTATATATAGAAGCAAGAATGATGTCTTCATTATTCTTATTAATTCATTTTTTTCTTCAAGTCTAGTTTTACGATTTTTTAATTCATAGTCTTTGGTAATAGCTATCTTAATTTCTTCTTGAAAATATATGTTTATTTATTATAATTTTATAATCTATTTTTAGAAAATTTCATACTTATATATTTATATTTTTTAATTTCTTATCTTTGTAACTTTTTTATTTCTTATCTCTTATTTTAAAATTATCATAATTTATCTATAGTCGCTTGGGTTTTAACATTTTTTATATCATTAGAAAATTAATAATTTATAATAATTTATAATAAAATAATATTTCATTTAATTTATTATTTTAAAATTAATTCATTAAAAAAATATCTTAACAAGCTAGTAAGATATTTTTATTTTTGTTTTATTCTATGTATTTGGACTCTTTAAAATAATATTTAAAGAATAATTAGTTTTTTTCTCTTCTGATAAAGAAATTTTATTATTTTTTACTTTTCTTTAATTAACATTAGGACTTCTATAATGATAATAAAATAAATAAATAAATAATATACCAAAGACTTAAAACAAACATATCTCATATTAATATAAATCTTAAATATCTATAGTATACATTAATTAAATATTTCTATGAAAAATTATAAGTTATAAGAAGTAGTGAAGGTTTTAAATGTAAATAAATTATATTCTATCTTCAATTGAAAAAAATATAAATATATATATATATATATATATATATATATATATAGATTTATATCAAGTAAATAGTTTATTACTATTTTTATTAAAAAAGAATCTTAATAATTTAATTGTTACTTGTAGCATCATAAGTTTTACTTAAAAGTGACTAAAATAAGATAAAATATTTATAAAAAAAATATGATTTTCTTAAGTCTAACGTATAAATGGTGAATTTAACAAAAAAATTTAGAATTTTTGAAATTTAATAATGTTTTTTTAAAAAACTAAAATTAAAAGTGATTTTGTAATACATTAAAAATATTAAAAAATAAAATAAAATTTATTTTAAAATTTATTATTTAAGATCAATTATTTAGATTAAAAAGAAAAAAAATTAACATTAAATGTTTTCATATCTAATAATATTATTTATCTATGCACAAGATCAAGATTTCTATTAAAGAATATATTTTATTAAATTAATTTAAATTTCATCTAAAAAATACAAATAATTCCTAATACTAGAATGAACAAATATATCAAAAAATATATACACTCTTCAAATAGATAAATATATATATATATATATATATATATATAGCAAGAGAGAGAGAGAGAGAGAGAGAGAGAGAGAGAGAGAGAGAGAAGTAATCTATTAGTTAATGAAAAAAACAAATGTCTATTTGAGTGCATCAAGTTAATTATAAAATCATCTATTTTACTTTAATTTTAAAAAATTAATTATTATATAATCATATTGATTTTTTTAAAAAATTATTTGTATTTTTAATTTGCAGCCCTTGTATGATATATATTTTTAAATTTCCTCTATTCTATGTATATATCTACTTTATAGAATATACTTTATTAATTTTTATAATCTTAATAATATTTTATACTTCAAATTACTTATTTACATATTTATATATTAAATATAATTTATTTAATTATCTTAAATGTATAAAATTGAAATAAATAAATAAAATTCTATTACCATAATATGCTATGTACCATGTTGTTATTTAGTAGTAACATAGATACTAAGATTATTTTAAGAATAATTATAGATTTTTCAACAAATTTTAAAGATCTTATATTAAAATGCATCTATTATTTTAATTTTGGTTTTATTTTTAAAAACCACAACCTTAAATCTTCAGCTTTTCTAGTATTTATTAGTTTTTTTTTAAAAAAAAATTGGCATGATTTGGATTCTTAAATTAAGAAAGTCTTTGTTAATAGAAAAATAGGATAATAGGCAAGATAGTTGATTTTCAATAAGTGAAATAATTTTAATATAAGATCTTTAAAATTTGCTGAAAAATATTAGGGCAATAGATTCTTGTTATAATCCCATTTGATGATATTATTTTAACAAAATAAATTACAACATTACTACATTAATTTATAAAAAATAAAAAATAAAAAATTAGTAACAAATAAATATAAAAAACTAAATAAAAAACTAAAAAAATCCATATCATCTAGTATCTCTCATGGTTTCATTAATTCATTGCTCTTATCAAAATACAAGAAATTTTGATCTTAAGAAACTTTCAGAGAGTGTTTTAATTAAGATTTATATTGATCAACTTAATTAAATTAAGAAGGATTTGGAAGATCTATCCTTACAAGGAGAATCAAACCAATAAAGTCGAAATTGTAGTAGGCAATGTCAAAGAAATCCAATTCAAGTAAGAACCAAATGACTTTAAATTATGATTAGAACAAATTTGGTCAATTATCAATAAAACAATAATTAGATGCCAACAATTAATTGAGGTAGTAATAGTAACTACAATGGTTGATGGCTACAATTTGTGTATGAAAAGAGAAAGAGAGAAAAATAAATCAATAAATAAATAAATAAATAAAATTATATAGTTCCAAGTACTTATTACAAAACAAAAGATGTTATTTTGTTATTATTGATACAAATGTTCTCTTTGAATTGATTATATATATATATATATATATATATGCATTCTATTTTACAACTCACTATTTTATCTTATTTCTATTTTTAAAATATAAGTTTGATTTTTGCAACCTCCCTTGAAGTTAAGTTATTTGCACTCCAACTTGAATTAGTAGTTGATTTAGAATTCTTCCTAACATAAATTTATCTATAACTTGTCAACTTTGATACAAGGAGGATTATGTTTGGATTGATACTTGAAGATTGCTATTGCAAAAGAGAAATTATAATCAAATGTTGATTTAAGGTGATGAATGAACCTTCTTTAAACAAAAGCTAAGTCCAAAGAGAAGCTTCTGACCTATTATATAATGAACTTGCTTATGTCCAAAGTACTAGAATTTGGACTTTTGGATATTATTAACAATTAGTTTTATTCTCCTGTTTTGGTGATGTATATTACTAATTCAATTAATTCTAGAGACCAAATTACTATCCAATTAGTGCAAAATCCACTGTTAACAGTTTTGAAAGCCATAAGGAATCAAAATTGTTTTCTAGGTGTGGATGAAATATTTGAAGATCAGATACAATGAGTCTAATAAAGTGGGTGCTAATAGACATTAGGATACAGATTCACACTGAGTTTGTGTATCCTTTCTACGAACTGTTGTAGAAGCATGTGGGGTTTGGGGTTTTATCAATGGTATGTGATTAGCTCAATCGAGCCTGCAGTTCAGTATCCACTCTGCCACTGGTGTCAGCTTCTAAATTAGATATCCTGGGTGAACTGTCTGTATCGTTTCATCACTCAAGTGATCACAATGCCCCTGCTCACTGAGTTCGGATGTGTAGTTCCAGTGGCACAAATGATACACTTCATAACGATACCCTGATTCTGTGAAGAAATGTTCTAAATGGACACATTTTTAGCATCAATAAACGCTGTTGTTGTGCCGGTTAGCACCTTCGTTTGGTTATCTTGCAGATAAATATGGAAAACATCTGACAGAAAGATATGCTCCTGCTCGTGACACCAGAAGATGCAAATCACATCCATCTGCGTTTACTTCGATTATCATCGCGATAGCGTGTGAATAGAGTTGTGAAATCTTGTCCACGTTGATTGTGCTGACAACCATGAACATAAAATGATCACATTGGGAGCTCCACATCATCAAATCAAGGAGAGTACTTAATAGGAATGTGCGTTGACATGTGCGAGTAAAACCAACCTTAGGATGCAAACAGACGACGGAGTAAGGAGAAGAATAGACGATGGAAAACGGTGTGCTGGTAAGAGTATGATACAAAGTGTAAAAGAGCTCAAAAAGTTCTTTACGACAGATGTAATGTACAGATTGCTGTGAGTATTGGAGTACTGTCTAAAATTCGCCGACAACTAATCGATGGGATTAACAAACGTCGACTACTGAGCTTCATCGCCCACGCAAGCACCAGGTTCACCTCCTGACATGATTGCGGATATGCCCATCTCTGGACACGGAGCTCAACTCAGCAAGACGATGATGGGTTGCAATTTTGCAAAACTGGTTTCCGCAGCTAAAATGCCGCTGTAGAAGCATGGCATAGTTGCACGCTCCTTTCTCGAATCGTTCCGGGATCCCTCCTCAAGCAATCAACTTGTCAACAAGAGGAATCCATTTAAAAATAAGATTGCCCTCTCTCCAGCTTTGATGGCTGGTTCATCATGGCTAGCACTTGGACGCAGACGACCTGGCCCTCTTGCACGGGAATGTCGAGGATTTGGGGTGCATCCGAAGCAATATCTATCACTCGCAAAACCCCCGGATTTGTCTCATCATCCTTCAAAGACGCCGCCTCGATGGCAACAATCTTCCCTTTAGTTCCAATGAGCACCTCCAAATTCGCCAGCCGCGAATCCACCATGATGATATCCCACTCGTCTCGCTCCGGGGCATACACCTTCAGCTTCCCGGCCGGCGTTTCGATTAGGTAAAATTTCCCGTTCACCGCTACGCAGGGACCCTTCCATCCTTGCTTCAAACCAGGTGACATCTCCGACCACGACTGAGTAATGATGTCGTAGACAACCCCCTCTTTGGAAAATACTCCCCGCCCGCTCACAAAATACAACTTGTTGTTATTCGAGACAGCGTTCATGGCCTCCCCGCTGAACTTCGAAGTTGACAGGTTTTGCAGCGCCTCCCACTTGTCATTCTCTAGGTTGTAAACCTCTGCCGACTTGGAGAGCTCTTGGCTCCAATCCTTCCCAGAGCCGCTGGCGACATACACCTTCTCATCGACGACCCCGCAGACGCACCACTTGCGAGGCACCTTGAACGGCGAGCCTCGCTTCCAGAGGCTCGTGCGGGTGTCAAAAATGTAAGGGTGATCGAGCGCGGGCTCCACGGTCATCCGGGGCTGGCCGTCTTTTCTAGCTTTGACTCCGGCAATCATGACGAGTTTGGAGCTCGTACTGACGCACTGCACGGTGTAGGATACGCCAATGCAGCCCGGATTGAAGAGCTGGAACTCCATGTCGTGTGGCGGCGGGGGCAGGTCGTGCCACCGCGAGGAATGAGGGTCGAGCGCGCGCCACTTGAAAGATTTGTCCTGCATCTGCACCAACGCATAAATCCAGTCCAACTGCGTACTTCCATTCGCCGCCCTGAGGCGTTGGAAGTAGGGATCGTAGATGACGTCTTCCCAAGTCTTGCTCACTCCATGCAGGTTGTCAAGAGGAACTCGGGCTAGGCATTCCATGGCGAGGTGATCCGGTAACTCTTGCAGAATCTGGACGTCGCGTTCTGTCGCCTCAATTTTGTCGTCGCTAGTCATTTTAGACCATACCCTCTTTGTACAAATATCCATCAGAAGCGGCCGTCTGAATTACACAATTCGATCCTAATAAATTCTTGCCAGTCTTACAGGAGACAAGTCGCACTAGCGGCGAGATTCTCCGGCTCCATTCACTAATTCAGTGCCGATCGCCTAGATTTTGTAACGATCGTCGATGATCACAAATCCTTTCAGAAAACCCCCCCAACTGTGAGATGCAACAGTGCGATTGAACTGACTCAACCGTGAGGTTGACACCACAAGAACCCTTCCCGTCTGTTCGTTACACCAATCCTCCGTCACTCACTCACTAACTCGCCCACAAGCACCAAAACGACAATACCATCCGCATCCACGGTGAACAAGGCGCCAGAACGTCGAAATCACCGAAAGCGTGCGACCTAACCAGTATTACCACCACTGGCCCCGATTTCCAAATTTAAACCCGCTGCCACGCCACTCTTCCCCTTCAAGAGCTTATCGACAAGTTCCTCCAAGTCGAACGCAATCCCCCCAACAACCGCAACCAGACCCTCTCTCTCACAACAGCTCAAACCCACACAACAAACACCGAACCCTTCCCAACTACAACAAACCGATCTCTGAACCATGCTCCAGGTGCTCGCAAATTCCACAACCTAGGGGGGGGGGGACACCCAAAACACCTGCAACCAACTTGCGACTTACGTATTTCAGACAAGAGAGGTGACTGAAGCAACAACACCAGGAGCTAACAGGAGGTAGATAAAGTGTGAGAGGGGATGGAGGCAAAAACTGGCAATTGCGAGGGGAATGACAATGGCTAAGAAGAAGAAGAATTAATAGAAATGGGAGGAGGGAGCAGGGTCCGCTAAAGGCCAAGAGACAACTTTTTAACAGCACAGGTACAGTGGTCCCCCATTTTTGAAAAGGGATTCTGCCTGACACCTCGAAAAGTACGTGAATGATACTAATATAGCAAGAGAATCGTGCCACCGGCATCGTGGCTCCCGGGGCGACCCGATTTGATTCATTCCTCCTCTCGCTTTCCCGAGAAGGGGGGTAACTGGAGTTGTGCGGGACGCGCAGGGGTGGGTCTTGGTGTCGTGTTGTGATGCTGCTCCAGCGATGGGTACACATGCTACGATTGTGTCGCACCTTTCACGATCAAAGTGGATGAAGAATGCTTCGCTGTGGATAAAATGCAACGCTTCCGTTTATTTGTAATATATATATATATATATATATCTGTGTATATGGATAAGCATATGTCATGTAAATAACAAACAAAGAACAGATGTACAAGTTGCACAATATAAGATTTCCGAGGAGGTCTTCCCATCTACATGTCCACTTTTGAAAGTAGTGGTCCAAAAGCCTTTTTGAAAGTTCCTTGTGTAGAGAAGAAAAGTTATCTTTTGGACGATCCCTTGTTTTGTGAAGAAAAATTGTCTTTTGGAAGTTTCTAAGTTTGGAGTCCTTTTAAACGTGAAGAAACCGTAAATAGACCTATTCTTCTTTCTATTATAATTATAGGTTGAAAAAACTCGTATCTTGATTCCATTGGTTTTGATAAGAATGAAATCAAATATACTTGTTAACAATTTTTGACATGGTTTTTTTATTTTTTGTAAAAACCGTTTTTTGAAGAAGGCCAAATGCAAATTTTGCAAGTCAACATTCTTTGTGTCATTTAAGATAAAAATGTATCCTACTTCTTGTTTTTGGCAATTTCTAGTCTTCTTATTTTTGCCAAAAACAAGAAGATTAGAAAGTCTTGAAACAAGACTATAGTCTAGAAAGATCTTGACAAGAATGAATAAGGCTTCAATCTTGCTTCTATATATATTCTAAACTAGGAGCTATGTGGCAATGTCCTGTAGGACCTCCAAAACATGTTGGCTTTGCTAGTCACATGTCTTAACTTGCAAGGCAAGTTATTTGTGTATGCGCCACATAGTTAGCTTATTCCATAAGCTACTACACAAAGTTAATTTGTTCCACAAGCTACCAATATATGGTTAACTTACTGGCCAAGTTTATATGCTACAAATACATCTAAAGTCAAAATCATGTCTATGAAACTCCTAGGAAGCTTTTCTAGAAGACTTTATGAAATTAATCTATATTTATCTATTTCTACCTAATCATATAAGTAACTATTGGAGTATATATATATATATATATATATATATATATTTGTGACATTACCTCCTCTTCTAGGAAAGAGTTCTATGATGAGCGGTTATCATCTTTCATGGATCTTTTCAATTCTTCATTTTGGTTTTGATGGATGTCGTTAATGAAAGGCCTCAACCTTCTTAGTTGCATTTGCAAGATTCTTTGTTCGCTCCTATGTGCATTCACTAATATTATATCCATACCAATGAACAAGGTATTCTAATCTATTTAGGCACCACCTTAAATCTAAGACTTCTTCCACCATAAATTCTTGATTATTATCCATTCTATAAGAGGAGGTGGCATTTGTCTTATTCTCCAGATATTTAGTGTCTTATTTGGCTCAAGAAAGGATACGTGAAATACACGGTAGATTTTTATAGACTCCGATAGATGTAATCAATAAGCAACATGATTGATTAATTCACAAACAAGAAAAGGTTCCAGCGTACGATAGTCTAACTTATCACAAGGACTAGTAGTATTGATATTGCAACAAAGTAACCATACCTTGTCACATACGTTGAATTGTGGTTGTTCCTTGCGATAGGCATCCCCATTGGTCTTTTATTGTTCTTAAGCTTCCTTTAATTGTGTCTTCATTGTTGTATATAGCTTTGACAAACGATTTGCTAAATCTTCTACCCCAAGATTATTAATTTTTGAAAAGTCAAAAGTATCAAGTCATGGATGATAACCATAATTGGCAAAGAAAGGTGTTTATTGAGTAGAAGAATGTACCAAATTATTATATACAAACTTTGCCAATGGCAAAAGAGTTGTTTAATCATATTGATGATAGTTGGTAGTACACCTCAAATACTACTCCAAAACTTGATTTTCTTGTTTCGTTTGCCCATCAGTTTGAGGATAAAAAGCCAAAGAGATCTTTATATCAACCTTTAAAACCTTGAATAGGATTCTCCAAAATCTTGATACAAATTGAATCCTGCTATCTAATAAAATATCCTTTCGTAATCCATGAATGCAATAGATATTATCAATGAAAAGTTTAGTTGTTTCTTCATCTAAAATATATTTTGTATATGGTACAAAATATGTCATTTTGATGAAGCGATCTACAATTACAAATATAGAGTCATATATACTTGAGACTGAAAGATATGTGATAAAATCCATAGAAACGGAAGACCATGGTTGTTTTGGAATTGATAACAGTTAAAAAAGTCTACAAGGTTGATGGCGAGGAGTTTTGGATCTTAAACAAGTATCGCATGATTGTACAAAGTCTTTAAGTGCCTTTCACATTTGAAACCACTAAAAATCTCTTCATATTAACTCCAAAGTCTTATTCTATCCAAAATGTCATGTTGTTGGAAAATCATGATGAGCTTGAAGGATACATAATCGTGCTTTGCTTTGTAGAATATATAAGCGATCTTCAAAATATAGTAGATTGTTCTTGAACTCAAACTTTGAAGTGTTATAGGACCTAGAAGATGTATTCTTGATATCATGAATAAGAGCATGAAAAGACATACTTGATTGAATTTACATGACAAAAGTTGAATCAATACTTAATATTGATTTTATTGCTTGAAGATGAAAATGCTCGGGCTTCAAGAAAATTATTCTTTGTTGATCAAAAGATGCATCTCCTTCTTTTAGTGCAAGATAAGAACGTTTAAAAAGGACATTTAATAGACCTTGTTATTTTTCGGATTGATAAGTGATCTTGAAATTGAATCTGGATAAAGACATGCTCTAATGGACTTGATGACGATTCAAAATATGTGCTGACATGTAATACTTGAAGTTCTTATGATTTGTATATATGGTGATTGGACTTGAAGTATTTTTTAGATAATGATGCTATTTTTGAAATGAATCCACAATTGCAAAGAGCTTTTTAACATAGATCTTATAATTAATCTCGATTGTTAAAAATTTCCTAGAATAAAAATCTACTAAGTGGAGTTTGTCATTTGTGACAATATGACACCCATAGCAAAGTCTGACGCGTGTGTTTCTATAAAAAATGCCTTGAAAAAGTTGATGTAATACAAGATTGGTGCAAAAGTAAATTCCTTCTTTATTCCACTCAAGTTTGTGTTTACAAATCAAATGTGTAAGTCGAGCTACAACTTAAGAAAAGTTCTTGTTGAAGATTTGGTAGTAATTTACAAAGTCCAAAAAGTATTGCAGATATTATATTGTTCTTGGAATCTTTCAATTTGTGATAGTTTGGACTTTCTTAGAATCCATTATAAAGCCTTTGTTGGAAATGATGTATCCTAAAAAGTCAACTTGAGAAGTATAGAATATATATTTTTTCAACTTGGCATATAATCTTATATCTCTAAGTTTCTGTAACACGCAACAAACATGAAGTTTATGTTCTTTTGTGTTCTTAGAATAGATTAGAATGTCGTCTAAATAGCAAATGACAAAATCATCTAGAAACTCACAAAAAACATCATTCATAAGTTGTTGAAAAGCAACCAATGCATTTATGAATCTAAAAGGCATGACATTATATTCAAAATGTCCATACCTAGTTTGAAAAGCAATCTTCTATTCATCTCCTTTTTTGATACAAATTAATTTGTATGCTTCTCATAGATCTATTTTGGTATAGAACTTTGCTTGATTGAGTTGGTCAAGAAGTCCTGAAATCAAAAAAAAAAAATACCTATTTTTGATGGTGATCTAATTGAGTCCTTGATAATCCACATACATTCGTAGAGATCCATCTTTCTTCTTCACAAATAAGATAGGAACATCAATTAAAGATTTAGAATGTCATATGAAGTTCTTTGCCAAGTTTTCATCAATATATTCTTTTAATGCAGCCAATTCATTCTACAATAAGCTATAGATTGGTTCGAATGGTGGTTGAGCTTTTTCTTGTAGATCAATTGAACAATCATAAGGTCAATGCTCTAGAAGAATATCTCTATTCTTCTTTTCAAAAATATCTTAAAATTCTTGATATTGCCTAGGAATACTACTTGACGTTTTTCCACCATTAAAAATGGGCGTAGCATATATAAAAAAAAGTTGATCATTAAAAATGTGCTTCTTTTGCAGCAAGCATGAAAGTTCTTGCACTTACTAATAAAGGTTTAGATATACTAGACTTATATACTTTTACTTCACTAACTCGATCTTGGATTATACTACCAAAAAAGTTAAGATTATAAGAAATTCAATCTATTTAAGGATTATATTTTTTTAGTCACAATAATCTTTAAATAACTTGATTGCAAGAAGATCTTATTACATTAAATACTACTACATTGTTATGATCTTTAATTATTATATCTAAAGGAATAGTCTCATAGGTAATATTTCCAGAAGATAACGAATGACCATCTATGACTTCTAAATGTATAGGTATAGTTTTCTTGACTAAAGGTATTTTTTGATTTTTGACAAAATCTTTGTCTATACAACAAGCTGAAGCTTGTGCATCTAATAAAGCAAAGACTTTGTGATTTTTAGGCCCTAAACACACATCTATTATAAAACAAGGTGAAGGGTCTGATGAGAGAATAAGACCTTTATTAGGTGTTGCACATAATTCTAGCTACTTAGTTCCTATTGTAGGTAGAAAAACTCATTTTCTAACACATTATCTTCTTTGGTAATTGTACTCTTCATTTTATAATTGCATTGATTCTTTGGACAATATTTT